TTTAAATGGAAAAGGTCTACAAACCCATATTTCATTAACTAAAATCAGTTCTAGAAAAAATAAAGAGTAGTGCTTAAAGAGAGGTACCTGTCATTTGTTAACTTTTTTTTTGGTAATTCTGTAGCTTTTTATTGAAACAAAGTCGTAAAATGTAGCACACCAAGAGTTCTCGACATGCAATATAAACAGTTAATGAAAATGCAGTTGAATAGGCAATATACAACTTGTACTTATACTTTGATTTATTTAAAGTTTCCCGGTGTTGTAGACAGATGTATTTACAAATGGTGAAAAAATCGGAAGGATTTGAATTCTTTATTCTTGCTTTTTCTTTTTTTAAGAAAGAAGTAAAACTTGGTTATTTAACTTGTAAAACAAGATTTTCAAAAAATGTTTCTCCTTTTATCTCGAGAGTTTTTGTAGTTCGTCAAAATGTCCGGCACATAAGCTCTATATATCATCAGTTTTATAATTAATGATAATCTTACATCACAGCTAGAACATACTTTTTCATGCTTTGTTGTTGTTGTCTCCTTTTACCCACCCCTGATAGGCAGAGTTACATATAAGTAATAAATAGTAGTTCTGACATTTGAAATCCTAAAAACTTCAGAAAAATGTTTTATTTCTATTTCATTTAATGAGCACCACAACACCCGAAACTGATGACCCTCAACGATGTGCCCTCTTCAATGAAGTTGCTGCTAGCCTGTATTGACTATCTTCTCAACGCTTAAGAGCAGTTTCACAGATGACCTAGAGAAGAGCAAACATTGTAAAAGAGGAGGAAAGCATGGTTTTAAAACTTTGAAGACATCATGCTGACCTTCTGGCGAGGACCACCTGGGGTAGTACGTTCTCTTAATTGCACCTCACTAGCCTATAACACGCAGCAATACCAGGAGAAAAGAGTAGCAACTCCCCTTTCTGGAGCAATCTTGGTTTATGGCTAGAATGTAGAATTCACCACAAAGAAAGCCTAGTAGATTATTCTGTGTAGACTAATTTGTACGACTTCAGAATGAAAGCAACGTGTAGTTTAAACGCTGCCGCCAGCGATCGGGTGATCAGCTTTTCGTTAGAACAGTTACCAGTGAGGAGGAGTGGGAACCACGGGCATCTGTTTAGTACAGGCAGATACCACTTTGGCACTACAAATGTAGCTAATGGCTAGAACAGAGCTCGTGCGGTCGACAAACTTAGCAATCCAATATCTATCTTTCAATCTATCACCGTGATTTTATTATAACTGGCTGCACCTTGTTTAGAACGTTGTTACCATTACCTCCAATCTTGGTTTACCGCCTTCCTACTGGCTAGAAACTTAAATGTCAGCTGCACGTATCCCTCTTGAAACCAGAGAAATAAAGATGTAAAATAAAACCCGTTCTGTCAATAAGGACAGACACGTTGTAAAACCACACTTTACTTCTCAAACTGCTGAAAGCTCAATGCTGGAGAAAACCTAAACTTTTACCTTATTGGTGGAACTCACGAACTTCTAAAAGAAGCTTTACAGCAATAGTGAGAAAATTATATTTTTCATATATTTTTATAAATATATATAGTTCAACTCCAAGCAAGTTGTACATTAATTAATATTTTCCATCTATATATTCATTTATTTTGCTGCATACATTTGAAAGTGGAAAAAATATCTCCAAAATGTGGATTTCACACTCACCGTTTAATAATACTTAATTGAGGATAACAGCTGAATAAAACTCTTTTAAGAATAAATTGCATTGACTTACACAGCAAAATTATTTGTTTAGAAAGCTGTTAACACTAAAGTATAGAACACACTCAGCGACCACGCTCTCTGAACGCCGGTTTTGAATGCTTCGTAGACGGTGGAAAATAGCACGGATGCTCAAATTAAATTGTTTAATAACAAATTCTAAATATAATTGCAGTTTTGTACTAAAAAAAAAAGATGAACACCCCAAAACGCGTTTTATAAGCATACAATTCACCTGTAAAAAAATCTGTCTATTTCTTAGCTCAGGTGTGACGCGTGATGTATCTTCCTTGCCACATCAACCGTAAAGCCGGTGTGTCTCGTACGTATACGCGAGACATCAGAGCATGGTCGAACCTTGACCCAGTCGCACCATTCTCCGAAGATAAGCATTAGGGATATCGATATTTTGAGTTCAACAGAATTGTAATTTGAAACATGTCAGACTAATTTTGAGTAACTAATGTATCAAAAAGTGTTAACACTACTTACCAATAAAAGAAGATTGTTCACACTGATTATTGTCGTGTTTTCTTTTGTCTTTTTTAAAGCACACTGTATAAGAGCCGTGTGATGAGGCCGATTCTGCTCTTATATCTCAAGAAAGAAATAATCGTGATACTTCCATTTTATAAAAGCATTTGTTTTTAACGTGGTCAAGTAGTAAAAACTGCATCTTATAAAATAAGACTACAACAGGCAGTTTTACATTTAACTTAAAGAGAAAATACATGAACATAACTAGTACTGTATATTGTCGATACCCCCATTTAACCCACAAGTAGTAAAAACTGCATCTTATATAATAAGACTACAACAGGCAGTTTTACATTTAACTTAAAGAGAAAATACATGAACATAACTAGTACTGTATATTGTCGATACCCCCATTTAACCCACAAGCAAAGACAGATTCAATATTACAAGTTTGGGTTTGAAACAAAATCTCCAGAAACCGATAACACATCCAGAACAGTTTGTTCTTGTTTTTTTTTAAGTAGTTTGCACGTAAAAATCATAATCACAAATTTGTACAACAGTGTTTTTAATATCCATTTCTATTGACATGCACACTCGCACTTCTTATTAAACTTTTGATTTATTTCTCGTTTGATGAAACGTTGAGAGAACTTTTTTATTCGTGTTCAGGTTAACAAGAGTTTTAATAATAAGTATGAATAAAAATTAATAAAATTTGGTGGTGAAAACATCTTCGTGAGTATAAACTAGTTAAGGCGCGTTTATGACTTAACTAACTTCTTCTTCACTTTAGTGAGCGATAACTTCAGGTGATTTATTTATTATACAACCAGTTTATTCTAATATACCCACATAGAATTCATAAATTCATTTGGTATGCTACATTTCTACAACTAACGAATGGCAAGGTCTGATCTGCTGCAAATATACGCGCTTTTAATATTGCACGAACTTAACAATGGATTTCACCTTTTGTCTCCTAAATTTACTTAGAAAACTACCAAGATATTTCAAGAGTATTTAGTTCCCAAATACATATTTTTTAATTATAATTTCTATAAATAAGTAACTAGTTGAAATTATTTATATTGTTTGGTAAATGTATTATACATAGATACATGTAAGGTTCGTATTTATATCTACATATAGTTCTTAATTATTGGCGACTTGAAAATATATAAAAAACTTTACATATATATTTTTGCGTTGATTAATTTATATTCTTCATTCCGTATTGTATACTTTAAAGCTAAGGAAATGATGACATATCAGTAACCAGTTCTATGTTTGTTTTCTTTCTATGATATTCATATCGTTCAAAGAAGCTTTAATTTAAGGACAGCCTTCAAAAGCAAAAGCATATATATATTTACCCCCAGTGGCACAGCGATATGTTTGCGGACTTACAACGCTAGAAACCAGGTTTCGATACCCGTGGTGGGCAGAGGACAGATAGCCCATTGTGTAGCTTTATACTTAATTACAAAGAAACAAAATTTATATCTAGTGAATGCAATTTCTGGTAAAACGTCACAAAGAACGTGATCGACCCCACAAGTATTATAGTATGGTCCCAGATAACAAGATCGTGATAACCCCACAGCTAATATATTGTGTATTGTGGGCATTATCAGCTGGGAAAATAACGTTGAATAAACTTTCTTTTCTTCATAGAAGTTTCATTCTGTATTAAAGTTTAGAAGACCTTTATCGAGACAAAATTTGCAGTAACAAAATAACATGAATAGGGAAAATTCAACAGTTTTTTTGTCCGAATAGGGAAAAATATAAGCTTTTAGATTGGTATGAGAATCAATAAATTTCTAGATCAGGAGTGTTTATTAAAAGCTCTTCATTTGAAACAATAACTCTCTCAATATACAGTGTAACTATGAAGAAAACTCCATTTTCAAAAATGATTGTATCTTGAAAACTACTTGTCCTAGGGAAACTAACTTTCACCAGAGTCATATTGAGAATCATGTTATTCAAGAACATTTGGGCATGATATCGTAAGTATCAAAATTAAATTATACTATATACCTAAATCGCTTTTCTTGTGTTCAGAATATCGTGAAGATCAAGAAACACTGTTTAGGATAGACGGTGTATGTTTGGGATAGGCTTAATAAATTGGTTAAAATTAACGTATTGAACACTTACAATACATTTTGAAAATATCCTGTATCATGTCCAAAATTTCCTGAATAAAATTAATTATCCTCGATGTGTCTCTGGGAGGATCGTGTTCCATAGGACGATTGTATATATAATCACTTTGTATTTAACCACAAAAAATTAACAAAATGTAGCTTAACCTATAATAAAATATCTATAAAGTAATAGTATCAAGTGTCTCAACTAGGCCTTAGGAAACAAAATTACAAGGAGGCCCTGAACCATTGTTATTACCTATCACAGGACTCTAAAAGGCTGGGGAGGCTGGATCGGGGGCCTGTGGACTTTCTCCAACCAATAAGATAGGTAGAAACGACAGTGAGTGTTAGAGAGAGTGAAATAAATATCAATCAGAGTTTGCTGCCAAAGGAACAAAACAAAATCAACAAACTTACTTAAACCGTTTATACATAATACTTTTAACTTGGAGTGTTGACGCAAGGTGGTCTAAATGTTTGGCTTCTAAAGACAATGATAAATATTCCGATTCTTGAAGTCAGTTCACATATATATGAACATTGTATGCACATATAAATCAAAATAACCAGTAAGCACTTAGCTCGGAAATTAAAGAAACATAGAAGTTAACGACAAACCTTACCTTTCCTTGCTCTTTTTCAAAATCACAACCGTCACTGTAGCCGTTGGTACAAGGGCTAAAAACAAGCTGTAGATTCGTTCCCGTTGTCGTGAAAGCCTGTAGGGAAAGAGTGGTCAAAGGTCACAAGATACTTCCGTAAAATTACACTTAAGCAAAGGGTGGAGGAAGTTGAAAATTACAGCAATAATAACAATTTAAAACCTAGCCCAGGCGGTTCCCGACACCTGCACAAATAAACATAACAACAACCAGAATGCATGTCGCACACCTACCAAAGGTTGCTGTGTGTAAGCAATTTTACAGATACCGCTGTTTCCAGGTACTGTCCAGATGAAGCAAGATTTCGTTTACTCAGAAATATGAGTTCTTCATAAATGACTGTTTTTATACATTGATACATCTAAAGAGGTTAGAATATTGGAATGATATATAATGTTAAATGAAAATGTCACTGCACGTGTATAAACTGTTTTTGATGTCAAAGAGAACAAAATCAGGTTGAACAGTAATTTGTATATGAGTGCGTGTACATTTTCCTCTAATCAAAGACTGATTATTTGCTTATTATTAGGTGATAAAAACCCTATAACCCGAGCGCTTTTGAAAGGTGGACCTTTCTTCTTCAGTTTGCCCCTGAAGAAGAAATGTATACC